ATAATAACCAGTTTCGGTCAATATGAAAGTAGAAACCCTGAATGTGACAGTGAAAGTGCATACCCTGTTTATGACAAGAAGCTTGAAAAACCATACCCTGTTCAGCGGATCATCCCCGTATAGTCCATATATGGGAGTACCCCCCCYGGTGGACTAGATCCTATCAGTACAGTAAAGAATTATCAAACATTCTTCCATGTTGACTGAATTGATTCAAACATGTGGAATCAGGGAGAATATGATGAGAAGAAATTTTATCGTGGATATTATAATTCAAAACGGCTTTCATTTCATGAGGTATATATTTGTAATATCAAATATTTGAGATTTACATGACTTGTAATGCTCAAGCTGATTGGCTCGTGACYGTGCTTATATGAAAGAATAGAAACAGTTATGCAAAATCATTCATTTTTTTAAATATGAGCATGCTGCTTGCATGTATGTCTCTGTACTGTAATATAAACACTCTGGAAGCTGAAGAGAACTTGGAAAGCAAGAGAAACACTTGGCTATATCTCATGCTCCTATGCATGCTTGCTTCTCTTCTGCTATACAGCTCCCAGCATGTTTATATCACAGTACAGAGTACAGAGACAAGCAGAATCATATCTACCTTCTGATATTTATTTTATTTTTGTAACCATTTAAGACTCGCTTTGTCTTAACTGGAGTATCTTGGGATTCCCTTTGAATGGGAGTTGGTTGTGGGGTGGGCAATATAAAAACACTATCTACAGTTTAGTATTATTACCAAGTCTGCTAGGCCTTGTAGTAGATCTTGTGAAGATTCTGTAGATGGAGAATCTGGCTGGAATGAAGCCTGGGTTGTTGTAGCTGGAGAATCATTCTGTTAACATTGAGAACAAATAATTGTTAGCTAATAAAGACTATCATCACTGACATTTATTTCAAGTCAAAAGAAGGGGTATTTGATTGGTTTTGTAAACAGGATCTCTGTATTTTTAAAAGGTTGTGCAAATGGCAGTCTAAAAAAATCCAAACAATGAAAATCTTCAGACCACATATCAAATCACCATTACCCTTTTAGCTTGAGTTGTTCCAGTTTGACCAGAGTTTGAGTTTTGTGTGTTATTGTACTTTGGTGGTAACCTTGGTGTTGTACTTGGAGCAAATGCTTCCCTGGGAAGCAGTGGTGCTGAGGTACTGTGGATAAAATAATAGGAGATGCATTATTACTAGAGGAATTGAAAAGTCTAGGTTATACCAATCAACCAGGAATGACATGTAGTCACAGTAATATAGGTTCCAAACCATTACTTCAACCTTACACTTAAACTACGCTTCCATGAGTAAAGTATGGCAAACAAATGGGTTTATCATTCTGAGAATTCAAGAGTGCTCAAGGCAATACTTTGAAAGGCTGATTTTATCACATCAAAGTTTTAAATCCTGGCTCAATAATTAACTCCAAATAAAAAGTTATGACACTAAGATACCTGTAGTTATATGGAGTGCTGGCGGTAAATCCAGGGTGATTTGGTTGGTATGTATTTGTACTTGTAGGTGTGAAACCWGGAGTTTGTCTATTCTGCTTGTTATTGTAACCTCTACCATAGTTTTGATTAGTGCCCCTAAACCCATGGCCTCTACCACCACGCCCTCTCACTGGGGTTTCTTGGTATAAAGGTGGTCCAGTTCCAAAACTGGCAATATTGCTGTTATACTGTTGGTTATTGTTTCCATACACAGGTGTAGTAGACTCATATTGGTTTTGGAAGTTCATTAAACCTGGGGGTCTTTTTTGACCTGCTCTGTTTTGATGTGTTGCTGGTCCTTTGAGTGGGTGACCTCTTGGGGATTTCTGGTAGGGTCTGGATGGAGTTGTAAATCCCCTACCCAAACCACCTGTAGCAACCAATTAGATGTAATGACATATTAGTTGTGGGAACAACTTAATGTCACAATGTCATTAGATGTTGGAAAAGATATCTTTTTTTCTCTCAAGTTTGTGTCATTTTCTTCAGTTGTTTTTCTTCTATAAGAAAAAGTTTCCATTCTCTAGTAACGTCATGAGCTATGTATAAAATTGCACAACAACCTAAGTACAAGTTACCTGTGTTTGCTGAATATGGTGATGATCCCTGGAAGAGAAGACTCCCTTGCGTAATGTTATTTGTACCACCATCAAAAGGGCTGGCTTCTACACATGTCTTAACCTGCTGGCGGCCTTCTTGTTGCTCTATCTTCATTGCTTCGTCCAGCAGCTTGCCTGTAAGTTCTGACCTCTTTTTTACCCCAAGTCTGATTTCTTGAGCAATTGCAGGATTTTTCTCTTTCTATATGGTAAAAAATAAAAACTTTGTTAATAACCATTTTATGCCAATTTTCCACTTTTTGTAACTCTTCTCTTAGATTCTAATTTTAGACACATTTTGAATATACTTAGAAGTATCACATAAAATGGCAAGAACAGTCAAACTTTCAACAYGGAGGTAAAGAGTTATTTCATGAAATGCGATTTGGCCATTTTTATTTTTGTGAAACATGATTTGTACCACCTTTACCACTCTATTTCAAAAGATAATATCTAATGCTGTCAGTGGTCTACTGCAGTGCACACAGTACAGATTATGGCATAATAAATGGTGTACCCATTGTTAGCATAATTTATGGTGTACTCATTGTTGGCAGCTGTGTCAACTCTTTACACCCGTTTTCTTTGAAGTATGACCTCAGTGCTTGTTTATTTTGGCAGACAAAAAATTTGGTTTTAGTCTCCTAATACTCAAACTGTTTTACCTTTATAAGACCAAATGTTTTTTCTGCCAAAATTAATCAGCAGCTTGCGCTTCAAAGAAAATGGGCGTAAAACAATACTGGGTTCTTGATGTGTTTGATTGTTTATCCCAGGCAAGAAAACATTTAAATACAGCTGATCAAAAGCCTCAGTTGTACAAATGTTATTTCCTGTCTCACTCATTGTTTATCTGGTTTTCAAGAAATGTTTGGTATCTAACATTTTGTACTGTTTTGTTTCTTGTATTCTCTTTGTATACACAATTGAACATATGTTTAGAAGAAAAAAACAGATCAAAAAAAAAAAAAAAATTCTTGTCACCCTCTTTAAGGGCACTTTGCATCAACTTTTTTCTCTTTTTCATTCAACATGAGTAGAAATGAAACACTATTGTAACAAAGACAGGTGCCTCCAAGATATGATGTATGATTCATACACGTTGGGTGATAAGCTAAGCATACATGACAGTAGATAAAAGGGAATACAAGGTTAAGATATCTGCCAAAAGCATGTATTACTGAAAATTACTGAACCTTGCTAGGATAGTCAATTTAGCCATCACTTTATTGCAACACGGCAGACTAACATGTGAAGGCCTAGAAAACATCTATACACCTTCCCTAAGGAGTGACTATTATAGTTAAATGCCCCCCCCCCCCTCACCCTTTTGACTCCCACAAACAAGGAAAATTCTAAGTGAAATAGTTTCTTTTACAGACCCTCATAAACCCTTAGTAGTTTCAATCCCACTAAGGAAAGGCTATGAATATCGCAATTTACCTTAGACCATAAAATCTGTAAAAAAAACTAGCTAAAACTAGTAGATTTTTCTCAAAAACTCATCTGAAAGTTTGGATTTTGTGTGAGATATTTTTGTGTTCAACAACATCCTTGGTATTGTGTTTTTCTGTAACTATTGTTCTACTAGTAACACAATACATGGAAAAGTTGTGTGTTGATCATTTGTGGCCTATTACAAAGACTATGTTACTTTTAGCTGAAAATTGTGTGCACCTCTGCAAACGTTTCACAGGGGTGTTACACGGCACAACATTTTTGTGAAACCACTATTGCCTACCATGTTGATGTTGACTGTGCACTGGGCATGCTGAAGAAAGTTTCAAGAGGGGTGTGAAACTTGTTTGCAATACACATTTCAGTTGCATGAGTAAAAAGTAGTTCAACTTTCTCGTGATGAAAGTTTCACAAACCTGGGAATGTTACAGGGTGCAATTCTTTCTAAAACTTGTTTCACAACACCACTGCACACAAGCTAAATGTTTCAACATGTAACAGGGCCTTAAAAGATCTTCTTTTTGAAACTTGTCTCACAACACTGTTGCACACAAGTTTCAGCTGGGGCAACCAGTATTAAAATTAATGCCAAGCAACACAAAAATAACTCAGAAAACAAATTCAAAACATTTAGCTGATTTTTTAGACTAAAACTACTAGTTTTGAACTTTGGAAAAACTTAGGTTTTTATTATGTTATGGTCAAAGTAAAATAACAGGATTTTCAAGAACTGCGCTGTACTTCAAAATTGAAAATAGCAGTGCAAGGTATTTTAAACCTTGGATCAACAGAAAGTACAATGAATGGTATTCATGCAAACAACTCTTTGGTTTGAACAAATAAAGCAATGTTACTTTTAGCATGCTTTAATTGTTTGTTGAAGCATTGTGTTTACATTGATTTGGAGTGTATAAAGTTTTTAGAAAAGACTTGAGAACTGTTCATTGTTTATGGCAAGATGGAGGATAGAAGAAATTGGTTAACTTTTCCTTACCCTGAGGGTCTTATTAAGGAAATGGTCAACATTTCAGGTCTAATAAGTTTCCACTCCAGTCCTCAATCACACCCATGATAAATAATGAAACAATCCTAGTCACTCTAAGATGTAAAACTGTTCGTACAACATTTTCATTGTACATACAAGTAAGGGTAATACATATGCATGTACCCTTTATGTGCAATAGTTTCTAAATGATCTTACTCACCAATACATTAAAGCGATGTTTGGCGCCAACCAAGTGAGGAAACTTGACGTTGTGATCAAACTTTGCATCACAGAGTTTACAGTGGTACCTGGGATTCTGCCCAGTCACCTGGATTTCAGTGACATATTCCAACCCTATACAGTTATAAGGAGGAACACAACACATTGCAGATCTCTTAGACGTGAAAATGAATATCAACATGTATCATTTTCACCAGTCATTTCCCAGCAGAACACAGTATTATTTTACAGTTTCTGCTGGAGAAATACTTAATAATATGAAGTCCTTTGCAGGTAAATCAATGTATTATTTTTGAGACACCTATTTCTTTACTTTCTCTAAAGAAAGAAGAAAGAGGAATCTGCTACCAGGGTAGACAAATTACAGTGCAAATCCCTAATATGTTAACAGTTAAATGTATTCAAACAATATAAACACAAGACTTTGTTACGTAGAGTAACATTAGCAACTTTCTGATTTCACCAAACATGGCTGTTCCTTCAAAAACTTCAAATTATATTGACATAGAACCAGATAAAAACCCTCAAATCATGTGATGTTGACTCCAGAATTTGAGTCTGGGAGACCCCAGCAGTGACATCTCATTGCTGTGGTCTGGGTTGGAGCCTTGGCTCAGACTGGATCATATGTGAGTTGAGTTTTGATGTGTTGTTCTCTCCCTTACCACAAAGGGTTTTCTCCTAGATCTTCAGAATTCCTCTCTTCTTAAAAATCAACATGTGAGTTGAGTGTTGTATTTTGCAAATAATGTATGTAAAAGTGGAATTGCATGTGGAGTGAGCCTAAGAAAAGAGCCCTGAAAGGGGAGTGATGGTCGTAAAACATAAGTTTATAATATAAGTTTATAACAAGGGCTTGCTCTCAGTCTGACCTCTAGCTCAGCTGGTAGAGCATCGGTAGTACAATTCCGAAGGTCATGGGTTCGATTCCCAGCGAGGTCGGAAATTAATTTTTCCAAATTTAATTCCAAGGGCTTTCGCCCGGAATAACCTCATTCCCAAGCACTATAACTTATCTATATTTCTATATCTTCATGTATTTCATAACTGCTATGCGGTCCACATATTCTCATCTTTGCATCACAATTACCGCTACCTAACATCTATTTCACCCCAGCCTGCTCTCAGTCTGACCTCTAGCTCAGCTGTTAGAGCATCGGTAGTACAATTCCGAAGGTCGTGGGTTCGATTCCCAGCGAGGTCTGAAATTAATTTTTCCGAATTTAATTCCAAGGGCTTTTGCCCGGAATAACCTTGTTCCCAAGCACTATAACTTATCTATATTTCTATATCTTCATAAGTTTATGATAATACACGTCTACTGCTACACACATCGTAAGACATGAAAGACTGATAAAGACTGCATAAAAACAACCATATTTGTTGAAAACAAGCAAACTTGAAAGTTACAAATTCAAACCACTAACAAGAGCGGAAAAAGCAAAGGAAAAGAAGAACATTTCCTCACTCTGATATCAGCAAAACACCCTGTTCAAAACCAGTTGACACTGACCATGTATTACTGCATATTATGTTATGTAATTGCATTCACAAAATGGTCGTAATACATGGGAATTTTAGTGTTTCACGTAATAAGTTTACTTATCATATGACCCATATCTGCCCGGGTGCGCGTTCTTAGAAAAACCTTAGAGAAAATGACGTGAGCAGGGCTGTACGGCTTTGAGCGAGCAGGGTCATATGAATCTGTACGGTCCTACTCGAATCCGTGCGCTTTCTTTTTTTAATTATTTTTCTTTTTGTGAGGGTAATATGATAAAATGCTTATTGACTGAGTTAGGTTGGGCCGTATGGGAAAATATTTGACTCTCGGTCATTTGCATCACCTCAAGCCAAATATTTTCCCGTACGGCCCTCCTACTCAGTCAATAAGTACATATTATTATACAAAACACTCAATTTCCTGTGTATTACAACCATTTTTCCAGTGCAATTATTACAGAGCAATAATTCATGGTATGTGAATCGGTTTTGAACAGTCTTTTGGCTGATGTCAATATTTTTTCCTAAGCTTTGTGAGGCTCATGTCAGTGGTTTGAAAACATATGGGCACTTATTCACTAGTAAGAAAAACCCATAATCCAGTAGAAAGATGAAAAAAAAGTGGCTACGATGAAAGGAATATATTTAGGATTTACACTGTGAAATCATTGAGAGCAGTAGTATGGACCTCTTCAGAGATAGATAACATGGAACACTGTGTTCTAGCTTCTTTACCAACCCTGTTGTGTTCTTCATTTATAACATGTTGTTTAGGGTGAAGCTAGACCATACAATGCATGTAGTTGTCTATCTAACTACAAAAAGGCAAAATCCATACGTTTATTTGTATTCACAGATCTCTAATAGGCAACTCTCTATATTCTGGTTGATTGGTCAATCACAAAATCTTTTTGATTGTTCTATTCTTTCCCTACAGCCTCAACTCAGATGGTTTTGTCTTCAACTATTCAACCAGAAAATCGAAAGTTGACTGCTGAATACATGATATTTATTTCCTTGCACTGGTTTGTTTCAAGGATGTCACCAAGGTTGGGAACTTAACTGCTACTTTCATGAACATGCGAACTCTGCAGGCTGAGCTGCACATTGGAATTCATTTTTTCACTGCCACCAGTCTAAAATATGAAAGGTACCGACCGATTGGTTTTGTTTGACGGAAGCGAATAACCAATTCCAGCTTGTAGCTCAGTCTACAGAGTTCACATGTTTACAAAAATAGCAGTTAAGTTCCCAACCTTGAAACAAACATTCCGAACTTGGTTTTGAATTTCAGTAATTTGGTTCACACTTTTTGATGAATCGGGACTTCTGAACAAACTTCAGAGCCGATAGTCAAAAGTTATGTGAAATCCACTGTAAAATCATTGGGCACAAAATCTCTTGAACAAATTGATAGATGACATTGGACAATATTTAATCTAATTTTACTTACCAACCATTTCTTATTCCCCCCTCCTTATCTAAAAATTCAGGACTTTCTTATTGATGTTTTCCCCATGACAAACCATGTTTGGTTTTTTGTGTGCACTGGTCAGTGAGATGCATGATGACAATGTAATATTTATTTCTTGATTATTATTTTGGGATTCGTGTGCAATGAAAAGTTAATGAATTATATGATATAATTATATGATTAGGTAGTATTCAGCTGGTAAGTTCTTAACAAGACCAGACACAACAATTATTGATAGCAGCCTACTGCAAATAATAAAATTTTTCAAGTTCTTACCTATGAGTGGTTCCTTGTATTGAGCAAAGTCATTTGCACACTGTAACCCAGGTTTTGGTAGACTGTAGGAAGATTGTGGAGTATATGTTGGTTTTTGGTAGGGCTTATATCCATGGGATGGCAGAGTCCTGTGGTACACTGGGCCACCACCTACCTCCATACCACCTCCATACTTCATCTTCTGCTTTTGAAACATTTTCGCTGCACCTTGTTTCTCAAGATTCTATCAGCAAGAATAAGATAATTTTTAAATCTCAAAAGTCCAAGGAAATGCCAGGAAGGTGAAGTGAACACAAACCACTTAGACTACTCCTAACTACAAAAAGAAGTACATGTACAAAATGTACCTTCCCTCAGGAATCCTGTCCCCCTTCTTCATTGAGCTACATGGCATGCATGTTATTTGGCATGTTTTGCTTCAAGTGGTGGATTTAAGGGACAGAGGAATGGGGCTGTGGCTCCCACTTTTATTTTAACCTTACTATTTGTTTTTGTTTAAATTATCCCCTGAATGGGACCCATTCACCCAAGTGAACCAAAATAAGATCGAAATGGTACAGAGAAGAGCAGCCAGATTTGTTTGTAACAACTAYAGCCGTGAAGCAAGGGTCACCATGATGTTGGAAGAGCTTGGTTGGCGCAGTCTTAAAGGGACTCCGAGGTGCCAGACACATCATAGCTTAAAATGTACATCAAACCTTGTTGATTTTGAAAATCGAAATGAAAATTCCATGAAATGCGTTTTTTGGGGTGATATCGTCCGTCAAAGTTGCAAAATGACTTAAGCTGGGCTCCCTGTGGAATATCGCGGATTTGATGGCTTGGGATGAATGAGGTGTGATGACGTCAGATAGTGGAACATGTTGGATAGCTGGAGCTGAATCAACCAAATTTCGCTATGGAAGTATGGCTGTTCTTTATCAATTTGAGCCGGAAATTGCTTGAGGAAAAGAATATAATACACCCGATGAAAGTGTGAGCGAGGACAGTGAGCTAGAAGAAGTGGCGAACGAGGAAAGGCTTCTAGGAATCGATCTTAAAGTCAACGTGTCGTGATGAAAACAGCTAGCTGATATGTGTTTATGTTGTTAAATGAGCTTATTAGGTAAAAGATTATGAGGTAAATGAAACATTTTATTTCACTTAAGATTTCAATATTTTCTGATGTTAAACTCAACGTAATYATTAGACATGACATGCATCACGACTATTGTGTCTGAACCGAGATGTGCTTAGGACTGCATTTAATAGTTTCTCTTCATGAYAGAGAAGGCTCATTCCAAATTGAACAAATATTACAAATAAGTGAGTTTTTTTAAGTATTTTCTATTACGTTCTTATATTCCAAATAAGTGAGCTTTTTTCGGTATTTTCTATTTYATATACRTGAAAAGATCAGCATGTGTGGTACCTACATGTAAGATATTAAAGATCTACCTTCCCTGAATGTATGAGGAAGATACTGGCTTTAAAGAAGATGGAAGTGAAGATGAAGTTGCTGACACGTACACCACATCGATTCCTAGAAGCCTTTCCTCGTTCGCCACTTCTTCTAGCTCACTGTCCTCGTTCACACTTTCATCGGGTGTATTATATTCTTCTCCTCAAGCAATTTCCGGCTCAAATTGATAAAGAACAGCCATACTTCCATAGCGAAATTTGGTTGATTCAGCTCCAGCTATCCAACATGTTCCACTATCTGACGTCATCACACCTCATTCATCCCAAGCCATCAAATCCGCGATATTCCACAGGGAGCCCAGCTTAAGTCATTTTGCAACTTTGACGGACGATATCACCCCAAAAAACGCATTTCATGGAATTTTCATTTCGATTTTCAAAATCAACAAGGTTTGATGTACATTTTAAGCTATGATGTGTCTGGCACCTCAGAGTCCCTTTAAGCAGCACAGAGCTGACCAGAGATTAGTTATGCTGTACAAAATTATAAACAACTTGATGTAGATCTCTGTAATGAACTGATACCCTTGATAAAAAACTCAAGAAATAATCACAACAGATCCTTTAAAATTCCTCTCGAGAAAAAAACATATAAACAATACAGCTTTCTACCATGGACAATAAAACAATGGAACAATCTACCCGCTGAATTAGTCACAGCCCCAAATGTTAATGCATTTAAAAGTGGGGTCTGTAAATTAGAACACTAACTTTGATCCTGACCTACCCGAGGACTTAAGCCTCGAAGAGAGGGTGTGCTTGTAATTTGGTAAATGTAAATGTAAATGAATGCAGGAAATAGCATTTTTGCAAACCATATATTTCAATTTAAATGGTAACATGCCTCTAGATCTCTCCTAGTTTAGTTTTGCATAGTCAGCAGTGAATTTCCCCCTTCCAGATTCCTGGATTTGCCTATGGCCTCCATCGGCACGTAACAAAGAAATCAGTCAAATAAAAACATTTCATCACATTACCTTCCTGTGCTTCTGTCCAACAAGATGGGAGTTCCATGCAGACTCACTATTACACGAACACACACAAATCTATAAGATATAACAGTTAAAGTAATATTTAGTAAATAAAGATGTATTTCTTCCAAAACTTTATGTTATCTTATTATTATTTTTCACGCTAAAATTAAGACTTAAAAACAAAATGTTCTGTTCTCCTGTGCGGAAGCCATGTTAACCAACCTCACAAGTAAAAGCAGTTTGTTTCTTTTTCTCCTCGGGTTTCTTTGAGTTGACCTTCATCTCCAGAACTTCTGCGGTTTTCTTGATATGTCTATAGCTTAAAGAATGGTCCTGGAATTCCTTGAATTGGTTTCGAAAGAGAAAAACTTTAGATAACTGACACAGGAAATAAAATATTGAGTTACGCTAAGCTTCTAATTTACCTCAATGTTTTGGGCAACAAAATTACATGGTTTACAACGAAGAGGATTTTCAGTATCAATCCAGTCTTTTCTGTTCGGCCTCTTATGTTGTTCTTCGCTAGTTTTATCACCTTTTCCTTGTGTTTCCTTCGTCGTTTGATTAGCCTCAAACATGGCAGTTTGTACAGGTTGGACAGGAGTAGGAATGGAGTCGGAAGCGAAATCCGTGTACAAATTTGCCCCTGGAACGAAGCTTGGAGAACTAGTTTTAGGCAGTTCACTTTTGCTAACGTTAGCCCCGTTCCCACTCATGGTGACCTGTTTAGATAAAGAGAAAATATAATATTTTTGAGGCAAAAAATTGGCCTTCTTCGTTTTCGTTTCAACTTTTTTACTGTTCGCGGCAAATGGACCTCGCTTTCGATTCCTTATCACGCATGCTCTCCAACACCACCACTTCTGGTCAAGTGAACCGTGGATTCGTAATGCCACGAAATCATTCAAAAAAGTCAAAATAACAAAATATTACAAATATGACCTCAGGATAAGGGAACAAATACAGGGATATATAGTTTTTTAAAAAGATTATTATCAGAATAAGCTCTTAGATATTTATTATTGAGAATAGAAACTTGTTATCATGGTTGTTTTTGCTATGATAAGCCGTGTTAGTGATGGCATGCCCTTGTCTGCATCCACTGACTTGGATATGCACTTTGAGATCAAAGAAAGCAAAAGACAGGCAAAAATGGTGGCAAAAAAAGCCAATCAATACCCTATTAAGTGCTGGACGAAGAGTGGAGGACATAATATTTAGTAAGTATTAATATTGTATGATTACAGTTTAGTCTATTCAAATAAGATAAGTAAAGATAAATTAGCTGAATTAGTAAACAAATGTTTGTGGTTGTCGCACGTGCATGTGTACAGTAGCAACGAACGAAAACAGTTAGCTAAGAGTAACTTTTCCTGTAAAATTGGTTTACGAAGATGCAATGTACTTGATTCAAAATGAATTTCGTTTTAGTGAAATTTCAATTACAGTATATTCTTGTTTGCTTAACTAATTAGGTTAATATTGTTGATTTATGTATAATGATCAAAATGGCATAGAGCATGACTGCTTTTAAAGCCACGGCTATAGTGAGCGATTCTTTCCTTGCACCATTAGGCACCATTCCACAGCACAGTGATGGCTACATGATTGACAAATGCTGCCGACAAATGCTCATTTTTTTGCCATTTTAAAAGCCAAAGCCTTGATTTTCCTCTTGCACCTTATTTTCTAGATAATCTTTAGTTGAGTCATGAGTGCAAGGAAAAGGTTGCAGAGTGGCTACACGAGTGACGAATTCCACAACTTAGCCCCAAAAATTCAACTCATTTAGTTTATCGTGAACGTGACTACATGTGCGACTTTTACCTTGCCATAGTTTAAACATTTACTACCTGTTACATACCTACATACCATCAATTATCAAAACCTTGTGAGATAAATTCATTATTTGTTAAATATGATAGTATCAATGTCAAGTTCAATCATGGTAACAACAGGTTGAATTATGGTTGGCACAGAATGCAGATATGCTGGTTAACTTCATGCTTCTATGTTTTCTAGTTTTGTTAAAGCTTTAGGAGTGTGTTTTTTAGCTGTTTGTGAAACACCCTATCCAACAGTCCTGGCCTACTCTTTTCTGGATGAAATCCAGAGGGAGTTTACGGTATCATATCAAAGTCAAGATGTACAGAGAGCCAAAAGACCTTACTCTTTTATTGAGTTTGGTAAGATATTAAATCTTTTTCTTTAAGTAATGTTTACAATATGAGTGGCCGTGTTGTATCGACTATACGAGCATGAGCCAGAGGCTAGTTATTGTATGGCTTTACAACACGAATGTTGTAAACAACTTGTGAAATTCTGTGAATAATTCATAACTCCTTTAGGACATTTTGAATTCATATGCTAATTAAATACAACCACTAGTGTTGTATCAGAACAGTATACATCCACCAGTGGTTATATCTAATTAGCATTTTCATTGTAAGATTGGTATCGGGTTTACATTTGATATTCATGTGACCTGATTTCTAAAGCTGTATTGGCTTAGGCCCTCGATCATTAATTATTCATGAATTTTACAATAGACCTTATTCATGGTGCGACAATGTTTTCCCAATTATTGAATGTGACAAACCTCCAGGGAAATGAACAGCTATTGTTTTGAAACTCATCAGAAAATCATTGTTATCCCTTTGAATTGTATCCTTTGGGATATTCATGAATTTTTTGAAGAGTAATAACAAAAGAAACTGAATCCCTGTGAGGTTTGTCATGCTGAATTGGGAAAACATTGTCACACAATGAATATGGTCTATTGGCAGTAAAAATAGTGCATTGTTAGGGAACCAAATGGTTACTGTAATTTACCCATTAGTATGACTAAAGCAGTAGAACAATTTAATTGCTATGCAATTCTTTTTTCATATTATTAAAGAAATATTAAATTAATGACAGTTAGAAGCAATTGCTTTTTAGCACTTAAAACCAGTGGTTTTGATAAACAAAGAAAAAGCTTGCCAGTACAAGCAACTGATGTAGTGAGGTCTATTGCAGTTTTCATTATTTCTCAATATTGTATTGTATTTCAGATTCTTTTATTCAGAAGACAAAACAAAGATATAACAATTCCAGGTCCCTGACCACAAGAATAAACCTGAGTGAAATGCATGAAGAGCTTCAGAATTTTCCTCCACACCATATTGATCAGTYGGAACTTACTCCTGTAGACCTTTCTGTTGACGTTAAAACATACAAAACAGGAGGTACAGCTGTACATTAACTATTATTGAGTATATGATTCTATTTAAGTATTTTGTGATGTGCTGTACCATGGCCACCAACAAAATGTTATTACCAATGCCACTGAATCCTTTCCTGCCAAGTATTTCTATCAATTAAAAGGCTTTTTATGAAAGTGTCTTGTGTTAGCCAGCAAAGGAACCAAAATAGATATCACCTAAGCAAATAAATTCCTAGCCATTCCTTTAGGTTTTTGTTGCAAAAAAAGGTACTGTAAGTTTAAATATTTGGATCACAATGAATGAATGCACAAGTTCTCACTGTCTGATTGGCTAAAAATAAGTTAGATGGTTAAGGTAGGCACATCACACTTTAAAAGCACTGGCTACAGGGTTAGGTGCAGAGCATATCATAATCAATCCAATGCACACTTGCAATCAAGTCACCTTCCCTATTCTTTTCTGTTGTGTAGGTCCAGTGAGCAAGTTAAAGCCAATAACATGGATTGGAATGACTACTTGTGCTCTGTCAGCGTTGTGTGGTCTTCTTAACTTTATTCGTTGCCTTCCATTTTTAAGTCTAGTTGGAGTGAATGATGAGGTAAGACAAAGATAAAGGAATAGAAAATGTTGTAAGATGGTAATTATATGGTAACAAATGCATCAGTTATCTAATGTTTACTGCTGTTTATTTTTATAGGTAGCTGAAAGTCCTACATATTCAGCCACTGCTTTCTTTTTTGCTTGTTTGTTAAATTGCACACAGGTAAACTATCATGCATGAAAAATATAATCCATGGCAAAGGGCTGTATAAGTAAGAGTTAATTACCGAGAACAGAGGCAATAAGCCATATGATAGACTTATTGCCAGGGTTAATAACTAACTATATATTGACCTCGCATTTATAGTGCATGCACTAAAACCGTGAACATTACATGTAAGTAGTACTAATTAGTACTATTTCATACAGAATCCTTTGTTTTCTATTGTTTAATTATCGCTATTTAGTGCTAAAAATTAGTATTTGTTTCACGGATTTATTGTGAGCACTCTAATGAGGGTTATAACAAAAATAAAGCCTTGTGAATAACAAAGAAAACTGTGTCAATTGAGAAATAAGTAATATATACAATATGAGTGGCCGTGTTGTATCAGATATACAACCACGAGCCAAAGGTGAGTGATTGTATATCTGATACAACAAGGACACGAATATTGTATATTACTTGATATGAAACGTCTAGGTGTATACATTCATGTTCTACTAAAATTTTAAAGATAAAATCGAATTTGGTTAAGAAAATTGGAGTTAAAGTTTATGAAAATCAGGACGATTTGGGGGAGGGGGGGGGGGGTGGGGCAGAGAAAGAACAAAAACTACAGAGTTTGTGTGGAAGAAAATTGGAATTTCCGGAGGTAGGGGGCCGTCTTAAAAAATTCTTCCGTGGGGAGGGTATGGATAATTTTTGGAACTACACAATTTAATTTAATTGAGTGTGCATGTGTGTACAGTATTTCAAGCAAATGAAAAAAGAATAAGAACAGAAAAGTGACAACCTTACAGTTTTAGTGACCATTCATTATTTATCTATAGAGACAGAGGAGGGATGATTGAAAACAATTTATTTGTCACCTAAATCCCTCATTCCATAAACAATAAATAGTGTCAGTAACTTAATTTACATTTCATCCAGCCTTGTAGTATGTATTTCATGATAGAAGTGTCCCCTTGATGACAATGTCGTCTAATTAGCTTTAATGAAATCTGTAAGAATGAAATTAGTTCAAGCCCATCCCACTTTAACTATTAGCTCTAAAATCCCAAAACTGATGTCTTACTTGATGTCTTGCAGTGTTATCTCCTCATCTTTCATGTTCAATGGAGGCTTGCTATTTCAAGTACAGTTTCAGTTCTTCTTCTTATATTAATCTACTACCTGAAAAACCTGCGCAACTTGTGGCAGATTATTTTTCATTCAAGTGTGACTCTGATTGCTCTTTATCAAACTACTACAAGACAGCTACAAGAAAAACCTCCTGGTTACAACGTATAACATCAAGAGAATAATTATTATTAATATGGTAACTTTGAAAAATAGGGATCTAGCTAATGTGATATCCACTCTGCTTTCCACTGGCAGCTTTAATAGGAATTATCTAGGTCCCAGAATAAATATCTTTGTTATTACACTTATAAACCTACTTTGGTCTATCACAAGGCCTGCACTCTGATTGAACTACTAGTAGTGTATTAGTGACAGACCACTAGTATAGCAGAGGTGTAGTTTGAAACCCAAAACAATGCAAAATAATGAATTACTTCTACCTAACTTAAAAATTGCTTATTATATATATTCATATATTTGAACAAATTAGTAGGTTTATGCCAAAGCAATTAGAACTCTTGCCCTAATAGGCTATTGACTTGTAGACCATTTGGGCTTCGGGTCTAAATATTGTTAAGTCACCAAACATTGACAATGTGTACAGCCCTTTTATACCCAAACTAACAAAAATTAGAATTTCCAAATTCCAATTTGAGTATAAAATGAGATATTTTGATCAAAACCATGCAGGTAACTATGTTTTTGATAAGGAATATGTGTGTACAATTTTGTCTAAACACAAGTAATCACATTAGTATAATCAAGTTAAGAATGTCCAAATTATTATCATTTGGGTGAGTACAGAATCTTTGAATTTACTTAACCTCATGTGAACACCTATATTTCTATATACCGATCAGGCTGTGAATGTGCAGACTTTTTTATGAATTCAAGTAAGGAGAAATATCTATTGGTAATACTCCATTTTACAGTTCCATTCAGTGAACATGGATAATAGTTTCAAACTGAGGTTGTAGTAAAAAGTAAAAAGTATAGTTTTGCTATGTAAATTAGGTAACTCTAATTTCCACTTGAAACCATTATTCATGGTCATTGAACGGAACAATGGAGTATTGTAAAGATTTATGCACCAGTATAATTTATCATTGATGCTGGTCATGGATGAAGATCCAAATATTAGATCCAATTATTAGATTTAGATAGTCCCACTTTAATATAAAACAACATATTGGTGTGAAAAGTGCTAAAAATTTATAAAAAAATAGTTATTAAACAATCTTCTTAGTATACTTTTATAAATAAAAAATATACAAAATGTAAAACTGAAGTTCGATCTGCCAGCAAAAAATATGAAAGGTACCGACTGATTAGGTTTGATTGACAGCAGCGAAAAACCAAATTTCAGCGTGCAGCTCGCAGAAACAGAGTTCACATGTTTATGAAAATTGCAGCAAATAAGAATAAGAAATCATTGGTGGTAAGATATATGAAGAAGTTGCTAAGACAACATACCATTTAAATAACCATAGAATCATTGTCCAGTTATTAAGGCTATTGAACAAAATACCACCTTTTGCATATCAGAACTCCAGTCAAATCCAGTCTTCTTGTTTTATCACCTAATCTGTAATCTCTGAGATAATGAATCGATCTTTATGGAGATGGGTTCTTTCCCCAGGTGGGGAGGGAGTTTAAGAGGAGATAACCTATAGTATTAAAATATAGCACCTTTCCCACCATTGTACACCCCTTTTTAATGGATATAAAATGCACATGCATGTATCTGTACTGTGATATAAATATGCTGGGAGCTGTTGTAGAGCACAAGAGAAGCAAGTTTAGGAACACGATTGGCATAGCCAAGTGTTTCTAACCCTTTTGGAGTGTTCTTCATCTCCCAGAGTGTTTATATCACAGTAGAGGGACATAACCAGCCATTTAATATTGCTGTTATAAATATTTTTGATCAATCGTTCATTAGCATCTCTCTGTCCTTTGATATAAACACGGTAGCCAGCCAATCAGCGAGCACATTATATCTCAAATATTCGTTTAGCCAATCAGCAAGCATGTTATATTTCAAATATTTTCAAACATGTTAAATATTTATTGCTTTTCCATAGCACAGTAGAGTACAAACACTATAAGTGTGCAACACTTTGCACTATTTAGTAGTGAATAGTGCTATTTAAACAATAGAAAACAATAGGATTAGCATAATTTAGCAGTATTTAGTGGTATTTATGTTACACACTTATAGTGTTTGTACTCTAAAGATATTTAAACAACTAATTTATGTATAAAATATTTCTGCAGAGCTTGTGGGCCAAAGAAGCAGTTCGTCCACAGGTAGCCCAAGCTTGGTTTCTGTGGTGTCCTGTTATAAGGAAATATAGTGGGGGAAAAAATCTTAAAACGGGCTAAATTCAAAAAATAACCACGCAGAGCGAAAGAAGTGTTCTTTATCAATGATAGGGTAAAATTTCGAGGCTTTATTTCACGTTTCAATGATTTTATTGACTTTTTTGATGAATCTTCATACATTTCCTTATAACAGGACACCACAGAAACCAAGCTTGGGCTACCTGTGGCTAAACTTGTAAATAATCGATTACGTCATGATCACGAGATTTGCACAGTTGTTATCCAGTCTAAAGAAAATGGCGGCATTTAAACAGTGTTGTTCGTGTTTCTTGGTGTTGCTGACCATTTGGTGTTTATTCTATACAGTAACGAGTAGTCTTGTCGGAGGAATACAGCCGATAGATGACAAGGATATTGCTAAATACGAAGATCTCTTGAAAGGCTTAGAATTAGCCGCTGTAGAGGTGAACCGGGAGATAAAAGAGAAAATGAATGACGCCAACAGCAATCGTAAATACGGGTTTCTAAAACAAACCCTTCATGTTTCAAGCCAAGTTGTTCAAGGGTCCTTATTTCATGTAACGACTGATATGGCTCCTTCAGATTGTTCTGACCAAGATCCAAAACCCATCCTAGAGTGTTCAGTGGATGGTTCAGATCCCCTCGTCCAAACACACACGTATTCGTGTACATTCAAGATTTGGTCTCGAGAGTGGCTTCCACCCAAGGAAGGACTACTGGTTGAAGACCTGAAATGCACGTTAAAAAGCGCTGGCGGAGAAATCTAAAGTAACTTATTTCTCAATTCTGACATGAGAATACGAACTCATAAAACACATTTTGTCGCATAAGAAAACTCTATTTTGTTATACGCTGAAATGAAATACCAACCAGTGTCTTGTGCTGCTGGGAAATGATCTTAATTAAGATTAAGAGGAAATTTTTTTCAATGACGAGCAATAACGGTAATGGCAAAAAGCGCCAAAAACTAGACTTTYGTATGAGTTTTGATCCCAATTTTCATTTTGGGTTAACACTCAAAACGTTTTTTGAACAGTTAGAAACTGATGTACCATGATATAATGCCTGTTTGATTTGTATTTTCAATTGTACAAAGATGTTTTGTTGCATTTGTGTTAATAGAATGTTGCTTTGTTAGGCTTTTTTATATGGGAAATAAGCAAATGAAAGCCTAAACCTCATTTTCGATTCAAATTTTTATTTGGGTTAACACTTTGATTCCATTTTCATGGGTCATCTCCACTTCCAAACAAGTTAAACTTTCTGAATAACAAGATTTTAGCCGTGTACAACAGCCTTTTTTCAAGAAAATAGTTTTTGGCGCTCACTGCTTGAATACGAAAATAATTCTCTCTTAAGTAAAAATAATTTTTACTATTCCATTGAGAATATTAATGTAGTGCAAATTTTTGTATTAAAATTGGTTTTGCTGTCTTCACTTTTTGTTGTATTGATGTCAAATTTTGGTCTCTGTCAGTGAAAAATGTCAGGGTCTTTAAATTTCAAGTCAGTCACTGTTAGAATTGAAGCTCAATTTGTACTGTTAGTCAGAAAAAATGAAACTCTGCTCATAAACGTAATAGTCTTGGAAAATGGCTTTAAAAAATTGCAAATACAGTGGAACCCGGTTTTAAGGATACCCGATTAATAAGGACACCTTGCTATTAAGGTAATTCCCTTGAAAGAAATTTTGCCAATAACTTTGTCCTGAAACTTTGCATGGACATTGATAATGTTATGGACATTTAAAAACTGCAATAAAAAGATAGGGTCACTATTTTCGTTTTTTAGCTAGATGCTCTCCAAATACGTCAATTTATGGGTTTTATAGTGAAATGGGGTTGCAACCGGAAGCTGTAATCAAGAACCTTTATTCACCGTTAAAAGTACTTTCATATAACAAAACGTACTTATAACTCGAAGTTTACTATATAATCTATACTATTAAATCCATCAATGTTATTGGATGACTATGATTCTTGAACTATTAGTGAAAAATGCAGGTATATGCGCCTCTACGAACGTCCAAAAACTGCACGTCTGCTATTCCCATCAAAATATTTCAAAATCTATCCAATAATCTTTCCTTCATATTTTCATATATAATGACGAGCATTGCATTTAACAAAAATCTTAAATAAAAAATGGGGGTCACCATTCTCGTTTTTGATTTATCTCGAAAAAACATCTCAAAATAGTCGAAAACTGACACTTTTCCGAGTGRAGACTGCGGCTTGTCAGATAAAAATCGCAATTTCTCTACTCAAAAAAGAGAAAAAAGTGAAAATTGGTTTTGAACATGTTTGTTATTTAGTTTCCGAAAGAAAAATGCCTAAGCTTTGTTAGTTCCATGCTTTTAGTTGCATGCGCAGAAAAATGCGCAGTGCAAAACAAGGGAATTACCTTAAGGACAGGTTTCAAATTCTCAACGAAAGCTCCATACATTTTCTGTTAAATTAACCCGCTTTATAAGGACACCCGTTAATAAGTACAAAGGTGACATTTCTAGGACCTGAATGACAGTTCCCATACATAAACAACCCCGCATTAAGGACACTTGAAATTTGAAGACGTCTTTACTGTATTTGTTTATTGATATAATGAGCTCAATATGGATTATATTGTCAGTTTTTGCATATCAACGGACCACACGCTGATCATTACAGCATAATGAAATAGACAAAACTCGCAATACCATCGCATTGTTATTTTCCAGAACTCAACTCAAAACAAAATTGTACAATGCAGTGCAGTAAATGCGAATTTAGTTCTTGTATGGTCATGCACTTTTTGTTCCAGTTTAGGCTGTTATATTGAACATTGTAGTTCAAGCTTTACAGCACAGTAAAAATAAATGGATAAAAATGTGTTTTCGGCTGTTTTTCTGACTCCTCGGTTAATGGGGACACCCCATTAAAAATGACCATTTGGTCCCTCCCAACGGTGTCCTTATTAACGGGGTTCCACTGTATATCTAGATAATGGCAGGCAGATCCAGGATTTTGAAAAGTGAGGTTTCAAGATGGATGCCATATAGAAAAAGCCGGTATGGTAATGAGAGTAAAGAACATGATTGGTTTTGGCTTAACTAGATTTTACAAAGGGGGTTTCCATGGAACCCACGGTACCACCCCTGGATCCACCACTGGGCTTTAATGCATTTATACATTAGTCCAATGGCAGGTACTTGTTCTGGATGACAAGGTTCTGTCTTGGAAAACCTATTCTCCCCCACAGCCACTTTTAAATAGTGATTATGTGTCACAAGACTCTTCTGTCATGGCCATCAAGACTACTGTGGTACAATAGATCCTGTAACTATAATAAGTGGTACTGCAGGTAGTAATGTCTCGTGACCAGTCTGTCATGGACAAGACTACTGTCTTACAATAGATCCTGTGACATGATTAGTGGTACTGCAGGCAGTGTGTCACATGACCAGTCTTTCATGGCCAGCAAGACTACTGTGGTACAATAGATCCTGTGACATGATTAGTGGTACTGCAGGTAGTGTCACATGACCAGTCTGTCATGGACAAGACTACTGT